CAATGAGCGGGTTTAACGCCCTGTTTACAGCACTAAAAATGCAAGTGGACGGCTCAGCACCGTTATTTCAGACAGCAGGCTCCGATGACTGGGCCACGCGTTGCGCACGTCAGAACACCGACCTCCGCGACGTGCGTTGTCTGCGCACCGGGGGTGCGGATGGAAAAAAGGAAGAGTGGCCAAGCGATGAGTTGATCAAGATGAATGAGAGCCCTTACTTCGAAGTTGGCCTCGGTTGGCGCCTCTCGGCTCCCTGATTGGGGACCGAAAGACGATGAAGACGTTTGGCTGGATATACTTGTTGAGATGGCTAGGAGTCGCCTTCAATGGTGCTTGTGTTGTGAGTTTCTTTGTCCCTCCCGCTTCCGTCAACCCCCCCTCCAACCACGATCTCTTTTAGTAGGTATAATATGCCTCCTTTTGGCGGCAAATAACCGGCTGGTGGCTCTCCGGAACGATGTCCATCCGGTACTGGTGACTAAGCCGGCGTACCACTGTCGCGTGTTTTCTTTTCTTTTGTAATGCAGCACAATAGCCGAAGCGTTTCCCACCTGCAACTAACGTGTATAATGATGTATCGACTATGAGCTGGAATCAAAATGCGTGGACATGGTTGCTGTGACACAGATCCATGTCAGAAAAAATAACAACACCGAAAAAGGGCAAACGGAATGGCTGCAGATGGGAAACGAGAGGCTGGACGCAGGAGTGGAACTGCAGGTCGTCGCTTATTGATCACAGTAACTGCAGCGGCGAAGAACGTGACTCCGACTGACACAAACAAGTGTCGGAAATACGATTAGTTTCTTCAGGCTGCTTCAAGCCTTAATCCAGTCACATGCAATAGGTGCGAAAATGCGCGCTAAGGCAGTGGGTCATAAGGCATGCGAGGTTAGTTACAAAAGTGCTAGAGGATCAGCTACATGATGTCAGGTGGTAGCGGTCGAGTACCTAGCAGGGCGATAAAACGAGAACGATACACGCGCTGTCGGGACGAAAACCGACCTACTCTCACTGAGTCGACGTTTACAAAGACAAGTGAGCTGTCGTAACACAATGCAAGTGAGCAGTTTGGAAGTAAAGGATACGAGACTAAAAACATGAAAAGTTTTACAGAAAGTTTGCCAGTTCTTTCCGTAGATGAAAATGACAGTTAGTAGCCAGCAAATGGTATCGTACAGTGATCAGCGAATCGCCAACGTACTTGGGCGACGGAAGAAAGGTGTGGGAGCCATAGCTCTATACCACTTCAGTAGAGCCAGCTTGTATCCGCTATCATCGATATTCGGGGTTGTTACCTCTGGTTCTCCGGTGAGTTCAGGTTATGCAATTGTGGCATACTAGTTGGGCAAAATTGGCCGTGGATGCCAGTTGAATTTATAACAGTCGAAAAAATGCAACCGTTATTATGAGTGTTGCAAAGATGTGTATGACCATCCTAAGTAGATCTCACTCACTGTGGAAAAGAGGAGCTAAAGAGCAGCGGCGGCCGCTCTTAATTAGTTGATGGGTGGCAAATTCCGGTCCGGTAGGAGCCAAACACACATAAAAATGCTCATGTGCCCTAATGACAACAACGATTTATAGACAATATCAAGATAGTGATACCACGGGATATATTTGGAACCGACTGAGAAGTCATCATGACAAACGGCTTGGTAAACGAGTGGTTGATAGATTTGTTGAACACAACGTTCCACCTGAAGTAGCTTTTCATTCAAAAGCCCATTTACAATCGAGTGTGGTGGCCGACGCGAAATTGTTACCATTGACCACCTTGAATCAGCCATTAGGTAAGAAAGCAACTCGCCTTCGTCGTCTAGCAATGCTTCGTGCGACGTTACAACTAAATGCGCAGATTTTTAGCAGCTTAGCAACGTCGAATCAGACCACGATCCCGGTCTACAAGCATCAATCATCCAGACATCATCTTCCGTACCTAACCAGTCGCCTCTCACGACCAAGCGCCGTAGTTGGGAGGTTCGAGAGCCAGTTATTATTATTATTATTGTTACTATTATTATTATTAGGAGTGGTATTCAACGCTTGGCCAATATACAATTGGCAGTGCCATAATACATAGTTAACAACCACATAAAGGGAAAACAGGTAGTCAGTGGAAGGGCTTGGAAGGCTTAGTAAGTTAATGTGTTGTGTAGGCAGAGATCTCGGTTGCCCAGACCGAGGAAGAGGGTTGACTTAAAGGACCCCACCCCGAGCCTTTGGTCATAAAGTTCTGACTCGCAAGGCATCAGGGCAATTAACGAAGACCGTTGACATCCGTATAGCTCATTCGCGTTCTTTGTGTTCAGTAGCAGTCCACAGAGAACCCGGTGGCCAACAAGGTTGTTCATCCGCCCCCCGTTAGGTACTCAGTTCTCGTTACAGAAGCGAGTGATCAGTGAGCCTATGGCCGGTCACATTGGCTTTGACACAGTGCGGTACGAGCTCTTGTGGTATTTGATGGAGAACCAGGTGACCAGCCCAGAACTCACCACGCTTTGAGACGCTGCCGCTGATGGTTCGCGACTGTTTATTCATCTAGCCTGTAAAGCAAACGAGACTTATTCGCAGTTATCCCCACAAGGAAGGCATTCCGCAACCGGGGGACGCGCCAGATAGCGTAAATCTCCGCCACCGGTCGCATGCCAGTTAGTTTCGCGGATTATGTTTAATTTTGTAAAGATTGTATAGATTAGCCCCGTTTTTTGTCGAGTAACATTTTGAAAACACAAAATAATCAAAAAATAAAAACCTTAAAAATCCAAAAACGAAAAATATTTAAACCTCTTTGCATGCAAGCAATCCATCCGTTCTGTTTGGCGTGTTTTGCGTGCGTTTTTCTTTGACGACTCTACATGCCCCAACCTTCCCCTTTGATATGATGGACCTGACGAGCAACGTTTTCAAGGAGAGCCGAGGTCAGCGAGGATTCAAGCGCGAAGGCAGGATAGTTCTTCGTGGGACGGGTCGTTATGGTGCGGAGGGGAGAGAGACCATTCCCAAGCGCACCGTTTGGCAGCAGCAGAGGTTGTATTCCCGTCGGCCATTTTGCTGGGTTAGCCGATTCTTTTTGAAGCCCGACTAGCCCGATCCAACAGTTCGCAGTAATGCACGCTGTCCTGCAATCAAAAAATAATAATAAACGGAGAAGCAGACTCCGATTTCCCACGAACCCCCATTTAACACGAACACTCATTCAAGTTTATTAGGCACGATTTCGCTCTACGAACCTCGATTCATCCATCATTTTTGACATCGGTCTTCAGTCTTCTAGGGGGAGCTCTGTAGCGCCCTAAAAGATAACTATCTTTTACTTTCAAGTTCATCGCTGATCCATTGTGCAACATTGTCTCTTGTTTTACTGATCCTCAACTCCCGTCTTTATCTACTTCCATTCGTCTGCTCTGTTACTGCGTTGACGCTTTCTCCCGTCTCGCTACATCTTTCCACGTCCTACCGTAGCCTGTCGAATATAATCGCTGTCTGACTTCATTTGCCTTCTGATATGCGTGTTCGATTACGTGCACCGTCTAGGACTAGTATTTACTAGTTCTATAAGTTCGGTGTTGTTTACAAAAATTGAGTTTCGCTATGAGACAAGCAGGTTGAAGCTGCAACCGTCAGAACAGAAGATAAAAGTAGATGGAGCTGCAGGTCCGGATTTACACACAAGCTTGAAAGGTCCTGTTTTTCCACGAGCTTTGTAAATGGCATCTTTCATGTGACCGTTCAAGCGGTGTTTAGTATATCTACAAAAATAGCGCGTTACCGTAGACACCGCTGACACAATCGGTTTAATTTAACCGAGTTAGCGGATCGATGATCAGTACTTGAACAGAATTTCTCGAAGAACAGGGGACGCCTTCGGTTCTATAAAACGGTGACTGTTCCAGAGCAACAACGGCCTTGCCATGTCATAGTCTGAAGTTTAAGATTGGCTGCTCCAGGAGCCTCGTTCGAATGGTGCTTGACAGTAAACCGATTATATAGGCATCAAGCATGGCATCGTCGCAATATTCGTTAACTGAGACAGTGAAAAATGCGATCTTTCGCTAGAAGTTTGACACTGCAAAAACTGGTCGATATTTTGTCCATACTCCTGCTTGCACGTAGTTAAAAGATATCCACCAGTAGCCACATTTTTAGGGTGCACATAAGGAGACAGAAGAAGTGAAACAGCACTTTTAAGTGTTTTGCATTCAGCGATATGCTGATATACGGAAGGAGACAGCAGGTTGACAAGCATGTTCAGATTATCCGAGTCGCTTTGGAAAGACGAATGTCTGAATCCAATAAGTCCAGTTTAAAGTCATCTAGAGCGTTCAGCTCAGTGTCGAATTTATCAGATAGCGGTGCGTGGTGTTGTTAGACTAGTAAAGTGATGCATTGAACGGAGATAGCACAACAAATGGAACAACAATGAGTAGGAAGTACACGCGTTATTGGTCTAACAATGAAAGACAAAAGAGCTTATTACGGTGCAATATGTAACCAGCCTGTCTCGTAATTTTGCGGCGCGGGTTCCAATCTGCGTAGCGCTGGGCGTCCTCGTGGTGTGCTTAGCCCGCGTGAGACTGGTGGTGGTCGCACGGCAGCGAAGCGCCGTTGCAGTGTACAGCTGACACATTAAATTACATATGTAAAAATGACAAGTGAATGCAGTAGGTGTGTGCAACTGCTTGTTTGGAAGAGTACAAGTAGGTGATACATTGGAACGGAAGAAAATGCTTTGTACTTAATTCGATGCGAAGTATCTCTACAGAGACTAGGATAGGATGTCCAATGAATCATCTCTTGGGCCCAGTAATCGGCACAGCACACCAAAAAAGCAGAATGGACAAGTCTGTCTGCATATGGGACATGCCCAAAAATAAGAGGCAGGAGTAAACATTACCGGGAAGCTGAAACAAATACAACTGGACTACAAGCACATCAGTCTACAGGTGTGGCTTTCGTCTCGTTAGCGCATGGAGAGCATCCTTAGCAAACGGACTCACCTGCTAATAAGAGAATCTGTGCACCTGCATAAAACTTGCGCCGAACCGCCACATGTAATGGTTGATTCCCTAACCCATCAATCACATTTAAGTCCGCTCCAGCGCGAGTCAAAAGTCGCAGCGCATCAACATGTCCTGCGGATGATATTATTTAATGAGAAGAGAGTTGAAAAGACAAGGCTCACCCTGAAATGTCGCATGAGTGACGGGCGAAGTTGGAGTATGGGGAGGATTGACATTTGCACCGTGATTGAGGAGCAATGAGATTAATTCGATAGATCCATTTAGTGAGGCGTCACAAAGAGGAGTTAACCCCATTAAATTAGCTGAATCCGGGTGCAAGCCGGCTTCCAAAAGTAGACGTGCTGCTTCTACGTTACCGGTTATGCTTGCGTAGTGTAATAGATTATTCATATTTGAATCACGAGTGCTAAGCAAATCGGCATCAGTCAACAAACGTTTGAGCCCATCCTGATCACCAGATTCGAGTACTTTAAGAAACCAAAGCAACATTTATCGATGACAGGCGTTGGCGTCGTCCGGTGAGAAGAACTATGGCATACACATTGGCTTTGTTGACTGTAGTAGAGGAGCAGGAATATCTATTTGTATAAAAACGAAGTCAAATTCAAAAAGGGTGTGAAGAATGACAAGTTAATAAAACACAGCAACTGGCTTCACAGATATTCTACAAATGCTATCGCGGTTAGGTTGAATGCGTTGGCTAACGCATTCACGTGAACCAAGAAAAAAAATGGCATCAGCAGTACATCGGCACACCGTACGTGGATTCGCCGCAACGCGACCGTTAACAGTCGCGCGTGGGGTGGCTATACTGCGAGATCGCTCACACATACGCAGATTCGAACTGGTGACCTCCAGGTTACAAGGCAAATATGCAGTTCATCAAAGCCACCGGTCGTGATCTACCGAAAGACGATGAGTGAAAGCAGTTGAAAAAGTACGTAGATGAAAGAAAGAACGGGGAAATGGTTTCAACGATGCTATAAAATAAGACAGTAGCGAAGATACAGAGAGAACGCAAGGTACTGCGGGTGATGTGTACCCAGCCAAAAGCGCAAATATGTCAGCGAGAGTGGCATTAAAAATGTGGGATTAGTTAGCGCCCAGAAGAATCATCAGAGCGTACTGATGAGAATAAGTCGGTAAGAAGGTGCGCATAAGTGGAATGAACGCAAGAAAAATGGGGAAACAAATAATGCTGAAAATGGGTAAGCCTAGGGAACATCGAAATGCTAATCCCTAAAATCATCATTATACACGTTAGCTGCAGGTGGAAGACATCTCAGCTATTGTGTCGTCATATAGGTTAACATGCAACAGAAGCACGCCAGCTGAGTCACCAGTAACTGCCGGACATCGTTCCGGAAGGCTAACAGTCGCCTATTGTGTCCAAAAAAGCTACATTATACCTAATAAATGAGATCGTGGTAGGAGGGGTAGATAGTGTCATTGAAATCAGGGCTGACTTTTCGACGAATGGGTCGTTGTAAGATATACCAAAAGTGAGTGTAGTAGGTTGTGAACTGCACCGCATGATATGAGGTTGGCTACAAAGCCGTGACTTACTTACTTACTTTACTTAGTGTGGCTAGCTCGTGCGACAGGATGAGCCGGCTTCATAAATGTCGCGGATTGCAGCTGCCCAAGCGCGGCGGTCGGCGACGAGCTCCACACAGATACTTATCCAATGAATTCTCCAGTGACGAGCACCATTCACAACATGGAGTCCCAGAAGATCGATATCCGATTTCACCGCAACGAACCACGTTTTCAATGGTCCACTATGGCGACGACACCAACCTGGCACGGCGATGACGAAATCACGGCCATAGTGAAAGCAGTGACTAGTCTGCGGAGGAGGTAACCGAAACATTAAAGTCTGCGGCGTTGGATGAGCGCTGATAGCTTAGGAAAACCATAAAAGCGCTTACGGATTTCGTCATTGGTGATACACTCACGCCACTTCGTCTTCAAGATGAGCCCTAGACACCAATGGTCGAAGACTTCCAGCTTCCGGGTGTCTTCGGACCGAAGCGGCCATGTTTCGCAACCATAGAGGCGAGGCAGGTGAACTCCAGCCCGGAAGACGAGACGGACCAACGGCACCCAGTTTGGTCGTCAGTAACTTCATCCCCCGCTGTCAAGTCAACTGTCCACTTCGAGCTTTGCGCCACCCTTCACCTGGCAGACTAAACAACGCCCTCCTAGGTAAGCGGTGACCAGGCAAACGTAGCAGGTGCTCGAGCCAACGCAATTTATTCAGTGCTACAACGTGTTTCTCAGTTGTAAGGCTGTTCTAGCGCTGTCAATACGATTCCGGACTTCGGATGTAGCTTGCCCATTGGGGAGAACAGTGGATCAAAAGAACTTGAATTCAGGAACCTACCCGATGTACTGTCCATGTAAGGAGAGTGACGGGGAAGCGGGGTGTGACGGCTTGTAAGCAGGATTCAACGAGTGGAAGAGAGAAAAGGTAAAATTTGGTACAGTCTCGAGATTGCAGTGACAAATCTGATCACCAGTTGCACATGAAGGAACTACAGCAGATCCAAGGTATGCAGCACACTCATGATAATGAAATCTGTCAAACCTACTTCGGCGATGTGCGTGTTGGGTGGAAATTTGGAAGTCAAGCTGTCGGTCTAAGAGGAGTAGGCTGAAGGAAAGTTAAATCTAAATGATCAAACCAGAACAGCTTCAAAAAGACAAGAGACTGTAGAAATAGCAGACTGTTCCCATGAAATCAAAAGTATCACATCATAGCCATGATACACGTCAGCTAGAGGTGCAAAACATCTCAACTATTGTGTCGAAACACATAAGAGAAGAAAACACAACAGAAACCCGTCAGTTGAACCACCAGTAACGGATGGACAATGCTCCGGAGAGCTACTAGCCGGTTATTGAGCAGCAGAAAAGTTACATTATGCCTGGGAAGTGAGATCGTGGTTGGAGTGGGAAACTAAGTAGGAGGGGGAGGGACAAAGAAACGCACAACCCAAACGCCAGTGAGGTTGGCTCTTTGCCATGCCAACAAGTGTATCCAGCCAAACGTGTTCACCATCTTTCGGACCCCAAGCATGGAACCGAGAGGATGTAACCAAGGCCAACTTCGAGCAAAGGACCTTTATTCTCCTCCATTCAGCCTTCACTTGACCACCCACTTCGTCTTTCATCCACACCCGCGGCGCGCAAACGCACGTCGCGGAAGGCGATGGTCTAGCATGCGCCATACGTGGCCTAGCTATCGGAGCCTGGCGCGTGAAATAACGGTGTTGAGCAGTTCACCCGCTCTTGCTGTGTTGTAAACAAGGCGTCAAACGCGCTGATTGCTCACACAGTTTCCACCAGATGAGCCAAAGTGCAAAGACACTGGTGGTGGAACGTAACTAGCCTCTTTATGTCGGCTGATCTAATGGGCCAGGTTTCACAACCGTACAGTAGAGTCGAACGTACACTCTACCGTTCAGGGTGAGAGTGATGTCGTGCCGGTACCAGAGGACGCAAAGGTTAGCAAAAGTGCTAACGCGAATTTACATTCTTACGTTGTAACTACTTCTATGATGTTGTAAACTGTCATTATTCTACCTGTGGTTATAACTTGTTTGTTCTGTTGTAGGTTGCATACCGAGGTTTTTAGATGATTAAAGCCTAACTCTCAGGCCTACGTCTTATCAATCGACATACGTTTAATCGGTCTGGTGGACCCTACTCAACCTCACTATTGAATCATCCAGAAATGGATAAGCTTCTGCGACCCGAACGCTTTGACACGAACCCAAGCGCTTCCGATGAAGCGGAATGATGTGAACCCTGGTTCTTTTTTACATTTACGAACTTCTTGGTCATCGTCGATCCACATAAACCCGACAAGCTCAAGACACCCATTTTCTCCCACCAACTATGTATAAAATTATTTTTAGACGTCCTTCGTACGAATCAGCATTCTCGAATCACGCGATGTACAACTAAAGAATTAAGTGTTCGCGCGTCATCTATTAGCTAACAAGGGTCTACCGAAAATCACGATTAGTTCATACAGAGACTTCGAGCACTCGCTAGAGGCTACAATCTTAAATCTGTGAGCGCTAAACAGAACAAAGATGATGCCATCCGCGATGCATTTATCAGTGGTCTAATATCCAATTTTATAAGACAAAGACTTGGGGCATAAAACCCTGAAAATACAGAATGCCTTTGATCAGGCTGTCTTAAGACTTGGATCAGAAATAATCTCATACATCTGTCTCATCGGTTTCAATCGAGCCTTGTAACACCATAGCTGATGAATCCGCTACTCATTAAAAATCATGCACTAGTTCACCGTTGGAAGCCACGTTGGATACCGCTCGAACTATGTTATCGGACTAATGTTATTTCTGTGGCTACGATCGTCATCCTCGAGACAAGTGCCCTGCAAGAGACTCAAAATGCAAGTCGTGTGGAAAAAAGGACATTTTCGGAAGGTTTGTCGTTCTTTTACACCCATAGAAAATACTGCCTGCCTCACCGTTCGTGATTTTTTCTATTATCACCGCAGCTGCTCCCGCATGTCTTGCAAAAGGTTGCCACACGCCATTATCTACAGAATTAAGCTGAAGGCACTAATCGACACAAGCTCTGAGAGTTTTATATGTGAAACCATTGTACAAAGACATCGTTGGGAAAAGCTGAATCACACTGTAAAATTGTTCTGGCTTCCACACAACTTATTAGTCATACCAAAGGACACTGTTTTCCTTAGCTCGTACACAAAGGTGTGTTCTACCCACACGTAAAGTTTTCAAAACTTCCGGATCTGTGCAATGATGTTTTATTAGGACATGATTTCTTACAGTTACCTATAAGCGCAGAGATAGCTCTCCACGGTAATCGCCCCCCCCCCGTCCTCTTTAGGTGGCCTTTCAGATGCTCAGCTACCTTCCCCTGCTCTGTTTGCCCATCGCCCTTATGTACGTACCAAGTCACGGAGGCATAATGCTGCAGACGAACATTTCATCTTAATTGAGATCGATAGGCTACTAAAAGAAGCTATGATTGAGTTTTCGAAACCATCTTGGCGCGCACAAGTTCTTGTCGCCGCAAAGGAACGTCAAAAGAAACGAATGGTTGTCGATTATACCAAAACCATAAACCGCCTTACGGAATTGGATGCTTATCCTTTACCGCGTATAGATGACATGATCAAGAAGATATCTCGTTTTGGAGTGTTCAGCACTCTTGATCTAGATAGTGCCTATCAGCAAATCGCTATAAAGGAAGACGAGAAGAAATATACCGCACTTAAAGCATGCAATAAATTACATCAGTTCAACTGTATACCCTTTGGAGTAAACAACGGTGTTGCATGGTTCCAAAGAACTATGGACGAACTAATTCGCCACGAAAATCTCAGGAGAACATTTGTCTATGTCGATAACATTACTGTGTGTGGTAAAGATTGCAGAACCTGACAAAAACCTTCAAAGTTTCTTGCGCGTCGTCGAAAAGCATAGAAGACCCTAAATCGTAAAAAATACATATTTGCAGCCAAAGAAATTCGCCCGCTTGGTTACCAGATCTCGTTGGGCACAGTGAAA